GTATTGTATATCAGGGGTTTTATGCTTTTATTTAAATTAAATAAAATTGGGATGATGATATATGTATTTTATTTTGCTCATCCTTCAGGTCTCAGCTTAAATTTCACTTCCTCAGAGAAGTCTTCCCTGATTCTCCAGACTGGATTAGATCCCTTGTTAAAATACTAACCATCAAAAGAGAAAAAAAAAAATGGCCATCAAGTTGATTCCAACTTCTGGCAACCTCACATGTATCAGAGTATAGCTGCTCGATAGGGCTTTCAAGGCTGCTCGTTTTGTTTGTTTAATTGTGCTTTAAGTGAAAGTTTACAGAGCAAATTAGTTTCTCATTAAACAATTAATACACAAATTGTTTTGTGACTTTGGTTGCCAACCCTGCGATGTGTCAATACTTTCCCCTTCTCGACCTCGGGTTCCCCGTTTCCATTCATCCAGTTTTCCTGTCCCTTCCTGCCTTCTCGTCTTTGCTTTTGGGCTGGTGTGCCCATTAGTCTCGTATACATGGTTGAACTACGTGTGTCATTGTCTGTTTTATAGGCCTATCTAATCTTTGGCTGAAGGGTGATTTCAAGAGTGACTGCGTATTGAGTTAAAAGGAAGTCCAGGGGCCATACTCTTCTGAGTTTCCCCAGTCTCTGTCAGACCAGTAAGTCTGGTCTTTTTTTTTGTGAATTTAAATTTTTTTCTACATTTTTCTCCCACTCTGTCCAGGATTCTCTATTGAGATCCCTGTCAGAGTAGTCAATGGTGGTAGCCAGGCGCCATCTAGTTGTTCTGGACTCAGTCTGGTGGAGGCTCTGGTAGTTGGGAAAGATTGGTCCTTTGGACTAATCTTGTGCCTTTGGTTTTCTTCATTCTCCTTTGCTCCAGATGGGATGGGACCAGGAGATGTCTCTTAGATGGCCACTCATAAGCTTTTTAAGATCCCAGACACTACTCACCAAAGTAGGATGTAGAACATTTTCTTTATAAACTATGTTATGCCAATTGAGCTAGATGTCCCCTGAGACCATGCTTCCCAGCCCTCAAGGGCTGCTCCTTTTGGAAGCAGGTCACCAGGCCTTTCTTCCGAGGCACCTCTGGGTTCAAACCACTAACCTTTTGGTTAGTAGTCAAGAGCTTAACCGTTTGCACCACCCATTCAGTGCTTTGTTAAATACTAGGATATGACAGTTCCTTTCTTAATATTTATCATCAGTATAATTACCCCAGATAGAATATAAGTCTCCATTTACTCACCACTGTATCCTCAACACTTATCCCAGCACTGAACACACCGGAAGTGCTGAATAAATATTTGCTGGCTGATTAACTTTTTACTAAACAGTATGTCTTGAGCATTTTCCCTGTCATTAAAAATTATTTGAAATCACTTGGATTCCTTTACACCAACAAAGAGAACTTTGAAAAGGAAATCAGTAAATCAATACCATTTGCAATTGCCACCAAGAAGGTAAAATACTTAGGAATAAATCTAACCAGGGATATGAAAGACCTATACAAAGAAAACTACAAAACACTACTGCAAGAAACCAAAAGAGACCTACATAAGTGAAAAAACATACCATGCTCATGGATAGGAATATTCAACATTGTGAAAATGTCAATACTACCCAAAGCAATCTACAGATACAATGCAATCCTGATCCAAATTCCAGCAGCATTCTTTAACATGATAGAGAAACAAATCACCAACTTTATATGGAAAGAGGCCTGAGATAAGTAAAGCATTACTGAAGAACAAAGTGAGAGGCCTCACACTACCTGATCTTAGAACCTACTATATAGCTACAGTAGTCAAAACAGCCTGGTACTGGTACTTCAACAAGACACATAGACTAATGGAACAGAATTGAGAACCCAGAAGTAAATCCATCCATCTGTGAGCAGCTGATGCTTGACAAAGGGACAAAGTCCGTTGAAATGGGAAAAAGGCAGTCTCTTTAACAAATGGTGCTGGCATAACTGGATGTCCATCTGTAAAAAAAATGAAATAAGATCCATACCTCATACCACACACACAAACTAACTCAAAATGGATCAAAGACCTAAAATAAAATCTAAAACGATAAAGATCATGGAAGAAAAAACAGAGTCAACGCTTGGGGCCCTAATATATGGCATAAATAGTATACAAACCATAACTAACAATCCACAAGCACCAGAAGAGAAACTAAATAACTGGGAGCTCCTAAAAATTAAACATTTATGCTCATCAAAAGACTTCACCAAAAGAGTAAAAAGAGAACCTACAGACTGATAAAAAATTTTTGGCTATGACATATCCAACAAGGGTCTAATCTCTAAAATCCACAAAATACTTCAACACCTCAGTAACGAAAAAACAAATAATCCAATTGAAAATGGGCAAAGGATATGAACAGACACTTCACTAAAGAAGACATTTAGGTGGCTAACAGACACATGAGGAAATGCTTGCAATCACTAGCCATTAGAGAAATACAAATCAAAACTACAGTGAGAGACCATCTCACCCCCGCTAATACTGGCACTAATCAAAATAACAGAAAATAACAAATATTGAAGAGATTGAAGGGAGATTGGAACTCTTATGCATTACTGGTGGGAATGTAAAATGGTACAATCATTTTGGAATACGATATGGCACGTCCTTAAAAAGCTAGAAATGAAAATACCATGCGATCCAGCAGTTCCACTCCTAGGAATATATCCTGGAGAAATAAGAGCCGTCACACGAATATGCATACCCATGTTCACTGCAGTGTTATTCACAATAGCAAAAAGATGGAAACAAGCTAAGTGCCCATCAGTAGATGAATGGATAAACAAATTATGGTACATACGCACAATGGAATACTATGCAGTGATAAAAAACAATGATGAATCCACGAAACATTTCTCAACATGGATGAATCTGGAGGGCGTTATGCTGAGTGAAATAAATCAGTTACAAAAGGACAAATATTGTGTGAGACCACTATTATAAGAACTCAAGAAAAGGTTTACACACAGAAAAAAAAATTCTTGTCTACTATCTAGTTAATGATTTAGAGGAAATCATTAACTAGGTAGTATACAGTGTCAACTTTGGTGAAAAGAAAGACAACACACAATATAGGGGAAGTCAGCACAGCTTGAGCAAAGCAAAGGCATGGACGTTTCCTAGACACATCCAAACACCTTGAGGAACCGACTTGCTGGGGCTGGGGGCTGGGAACCGTAGTCTCGGGGGAAATCTAAGTCAATTGACATACCATAGTTCGTAAAGAAAATGTTCGACATCCCCCACTGTGGTGAGTAGCATCTGGGGTCTTAAAAGCTTGCGAACAGCCATCTAAGACACATCTGTTGGTCGCATCCCATCAGGAGCAAGGGAGAAAGATGAAAACCAAAGACACAGGGAAAATATTAGCCCAAAGGAGTAAAGGACCACATGAACCACAGCCTCCACCATCCTGAGCCCAGAACTAGATGGTGCCCGGCTACCACCACCAACTGCTCTGACAGGGATCACAACAGATGGTCTCAGACAGAGCAGGAGAAGAATGTAGAACAAAATTCAAATTCACGAAAAAAGACCAGACTTATTGGTCTTACAGAAACTGGAGGAACTCCCAAGACTGGCCCCGAGACAGTCTGCTAACCCAGAACTGCAACCACTCCCAAAACCGACTTTGCAGACAAAGATTAGACAGGCCTATAAAACAAACAATAACACACGTGAGGAACGTGCTTCTTAGTTCAGTCAAATATACGAGACCGAATGGGCATCTCCTCCCTAAAAGCAAGACAAGAAGGCAGAAAGGTATAGGAACTGGACAAATGGACACAGGGAACCAGGATGAAAAGGGGGAGTGTGGGGATTGCAACCAATGTCACAGAACAATGTGTGTATAAATTTTTGAATGAGAAATTAACTTGAGCTGTAAACTTTCACCTAAAGCACAATAAAATTTAAAAAAATATATTTGAAAAAATTTAATGGCTTCATTAAATTCATATGTGCTATAATTTATTTTTCCTAATATTTTGTTATAATAAATGATACAGTAACAAAAATTCTGTACATAAAGATTCTATATTCTTGTTTGTATTCCTGATTTTCTTAGGATAGAGGTTTCTAGAAGTAGAATCACTGGGTAAACATTACTGACTGTTGTTAAAGCTTTTACTGTACAATACTAAATTGCTCTCTGAAAAGTTCATGTTATCCAGATTTTCTTGCATTCCAGGAATGGTATGTTTCTGCAGCCACCTGCCCTGCCTTTCACTGCCATTCACACTTCCTCCTCTCCACTGGGAAGCATAAAAGTGGGCTTTCTCCTTTGTGCATTTTTTGTCTTCCTTACTTTGAATCATTCTGTTGGGTTTGGTCTACCTCACTCATGCAAAACTGGGCTGGGAAGGACAAGGAGAGTCAGTGGTGATAACAGAGCTAAGGATTCTCAAAAGGAGCACAATCCACACTTCAGCACTGGTGGTTTTCATAATGGAAAGACCATTTTGATTAACGAGGGGAAGAATAGAAAAAAAAAGAATTAAGATTAATCAAATGATGGACAACAAAAAAACTAAACCCATTGCTGTTGACTTTATTCCGACTCATAGCGACCCTATAGGACAGAGTAGAACTGCCCCATAGAGTTTCCAAGGAGCAGCTGGTGGATTCAAACTGCCTACATTTTGGTTAGCAGCAAGACGCTTAACCAGTGTGCCACCAGGGCTCCAAATGAGGGAAGGTGTCTTTTAAAAATTAAACAACCCACATGAAAAAGAGATAGGAGAAAAAAAAAATAGTAGCAATTACAATTTTGAAAAATCCAGGTACAGGGTCCTATATTTCAAAATATTTTGGGGTAGGAGGCAGAAAAAAAAAATTTTTATTGCACTATGATTAGCAGGCAAACATGAAATTCACTTGTGGGGAAGATTACGTGTTCAGCTTTGAGATGTCAGCAAAATACTTTCATAACCTTGGTCTGATAAAATTCTAATTTATAATTTGATCCCTTTGACAGCTGGATCATGAATCTAATCAGACGGTACCACAGAGTTTCAGGATCAGAAAAGATAACGCCACGATGGGAACAGGACTACCATCTGCAGCCCATGGGCAAACTTGGATTATTTTATGAATATCTTGAAATGAGTAAGTCATTAGTACCAAGTTTGAGTAATACAGATATGGTGAAGCATGTTTTGAATCTCAAAAGCATCTGTTATTGAACCAAATAATTATTTAGCTTATTGAAGTGAATATGAAATGAGTATGTTTTTCTCCACTAGTTAAAATTACACAATCAGGCTTTCAAATAAGGTGGCTGTGTGTATCTTCGTCAATATTTACGTGGTACAAAGCAAAGATTTATTACCAAGCAATGAAATGGAGTATTCATTGAGGTACATCGTCACTATTAATTATCAAAACATTCTAACTATATAGTCTGAGAATGAACTCAGCAACCGTTATTAGATCTGATTCAGGTTGGGGCTGGAGTCCATGCAGGCACAACTGTTGGCTGAAACACTTTTCAACCAAGTCATTTAAGAAAGCCTGCTGGAGCATGCAACTGTTTGGCAAGAATGACCACAAGGTCCCCCTTTCACACCTCACTCCTGCCTTTGTAGGATGTCCATTTCTTCTGGTGGGTGGTTTCTACCTGGTTCCTTCAGCGGCCTGATGGCTTATCACTGGCTTGAATTCAGAAACATTCTGCTGGTCTGGAATTAAAATTTGACACAGTCCCCTCCTTCCTGAATGTCTTTGTCCATTTCTATATTATTTGCTTGGTCTCCATTTTTCTTCAGTTGAACTTGATTTTGAACTCTAAGTTGCCTTTAAATGGATACATCTCAAAATAGATTTCCATAGGAAACACCATCTTGTCTATTATGCATGATGCGCTTATATGTAATAGAAGGCCAACAATTTACATGTTTCGTATCTGCCCTTTCAGCTAACCATTGCATTGAATTACAATATTTTTAAGCTTAGGAGAATAGAAAAGGAGGCATAACATTTTGGTTGACAGGCCTTGCATATATGCATGAAGGTTGCATGTTTGCAGAGACACCCCTTTGTGGTTCCTGTTTACAAGTCTGCAGATAGAGGGCAGTTTTATTAAATCACATTCTATATATAAAATAATTGCTTTTAAAAATATACATTATACATGGAAATAACATCTGCTGCCTTCGGTGAGTGAAAGGTTCATCTTGTGGCTTCTTCAGTCAATAATACTTTGCAGCAGCCTGGAGTCTGATTTGAATTCATTTTTTCTTTTGTTATGTTTCGTGACCAGATTCTGTTAAGGGTGTAGCTGCAGTATATAATGTAGAAGCTACTCTAAGTCTGTTTATTTTCGGAAAGACTGCAAGACAATTACCTGTTATTCTAAAATGAGTCATAATTGCAAATATTTCTTATTGGAGTTATTATCAGCATTAATAATAATATCCTGTGGTATAATATCATTTGTTATTTTAGCACAAAAAAGAAACCTAGGGAAAGTTATTTTTCTATAGCTGATTAGTCAAATGAATGGCATTGAGAGAAAAAGTCATATATAGTCATGTTTTTGGGGGGAGTTGATAATGGCTTTCAGAGTTTCATAATCTCATTAAAACAGTTGCTGACTAAGTAATGCAGTCTCATCCTACCTTACAAGAAAAGATGGAGTAACAGCTGTTATAGACAGATTTTTAGATTTATAAAATTTTTTCCTATTATCCAAGTAATACCTAATGATTTAGAAAAACTAATCAATTTCTCAGAGTAGGCAATCTGTTATTCTGCATTCAACAGTAAGGTGAAATTTATTGTTTGTCTTTCTAGTCTGTGGAAGACAAAATTTCCAATTACCTTTTGAAATAGTTTTGTTCCTCTAAAAATAAATATTGAGTACCTTTGAGAATGATCTCAGTACCACGCAGCCCCCTCCTTCCTGTTTTCCATATTCATTAATGATACTACCATCTACTTCTTTATGTATGGCTCCTAGCTGCTTAGGGAAAACATCTTTGGCAGACAACCCAGGCACCCTCCACCCTTGCTTGGGCTTCACACCTGGCCATCCAGCCTGGTTGCCTCTGCCCCACAGAGGGAACTAGAACTCAACTCTGCCTAAAACACCTTCTCCCCTCTTTTCTACCTGGTGAACTCCTACTAAGCCCCAGTGTTGCTCCTCAACTTTTCACACAGATTTGCTGCTCTTTGCTGTAAGTCTTAACAGCACTTGATATGTCCCTTGATTCTGGTACCACACACACAATATGTAATTGTCTGCATGCCTGTCTTTCCTCAGCTAGATTGAACCTGTCCAGAGTAACTACCAAGTCTTTTGCATTTTTCAGTCTTCAGCATCTAGCGTCAATTCCTGGAACTGAGGGCTTATAAATATTTATTTAAGTGACTTGAAAGTGGAGTTTCAACACACACACACAACTGTTGACTGGTTTTACAACATTGCCCCACCCACCCACACCAAGATCTGTATGGTATATGTTTTTTTTTTTTTTTTAAGACAAATTTTATTTATTTAGTGAATTTCACAACATCCTTTGAGATTATTAGAGTAACCCTGGAGTGTTAACCACGATTGTCTCCCAGAGTGTTTGCTCCTGACTTCCAAGAACTCAGACACAGAACATAAGAGAAATAGTCCATCAGTGTTAAAATGTAAATACCATAAGATACCATTTTGTACTTAGAGTACTGTATAGCACAGACGTAGTTATCTTGTGAACATGCTCCCCAGTGAGCAGGTATCATACTTGAAGTGTACTAAAGTGTTGAAGAGGGCCCCATTTGTCTTTGGTACTGCCTTCTCTGCTTTGCCATGTTCATTTGCTCTTACCTTCCTCCATATCAGAAGCCCTCGTGGTGCAGTGGTTAAGCATTTGGCTGCTAACCAAAAGGTCAGCAGTTTGAATCCACCAGCCACTCCTTGGAAACCCTCTGGGGCAGTTCTACTCTGTGCTATAGGGTCAGTATGAGTTGGAATCGACTAAATGGTAATGGCAATATCCAAGTTCATTTTTTAATCCATTAAAACAGTGATGTTCACATAATACTTTTTTCCATTAGATTTACTATAATGAATATCAACTCTTCTTCAATATCTCCTTGTACCCACGCCTTTCTTTGTCTCCACTCCTATGCTATCCCCACCGAAGCTTCCCTGTTCTCTCCGGACTCAGCTTTCTTTCCCCTACTCCCTCCTTTCTGCTGTGTCCCTGCCCATCACCTGCACTGACATTTCCTAGCCTTGGCAGGATGAGCTTTCCAAAATGACAGCTAGGTCATTGAAGACGATTTGCAGATCTACCTCTTTATCCATTCATTCATTCACTGAACATTTATTGAGCACTTGCTTGTGCCAAACACTGTATCAGTTGCTGGGGACAAGTTAGACTTGGTCTCTGCCCTCACAGAGCCAGTTGAGAAGGAGTGAGCACTTAGCGGGTCATTAAGAAGGTGAATGCAAATTATATTTTCTAGAAGAAGTGATATTTGAACTAGATTTTGAAGGGTGAATGGAAGTTAGCTATCTAAAGAGTGTTGAAGGGAAAGGATGTTTCACGCAGAGAAGTGGACACTTTTAAAAGCATAAAGGCATGAAATAGCTTGGCAAGTTCAAAAAAAATGGCAAGTAAAGTATGGGTAGTACACAGGAACCATAGGTGGGAATATCAGGTAAGCAAGGCTCATATCATGATGGGTGTCGTGAGCTTAGCCAAGGGACTTGAACTTCATCCTTAATGAAAGAGGGATCCATTGGAATATTTGTAAGCAAGAGAATCATGTTTATGTTACTCTGGCAGCAAGATGGAAGATCATATTTTAAACGGGGACCATGTTGGTGTGAGGGAGATCATCCAGGAGGCTACAGCAGGTAACCCAGACAAGTGATAAGCACTTAAACGGAGGTTGTGAGTGTAGGAATAGTGATAGAGAGATAGATTTGATACGTGTCAAAAGGTGACTAGTTCTATGTCCAGGAGCCCTGGCGGCACAGAGGATAAGCGTTTGGCTGCTAACTAAAAGGTTTGCAGTTCAAACCCACCCAGTGGCTCTGCAGGAGAAAGACCTGGCGCTCTGTTCCCATAAAGATTACAGCCTGGAAAATCCTATAGGGGCAGTTCTACTCTGTCACGTGGAGTTGCTATGAATTGAAAATCAACTCCACAGCACTTAACAACAGCAACAGTTCTATGGCAGGTGAGAAATAGAATTGTCTAAGACAACTTCCAGGAGACTGAACATGCAGGATGGGGTGTAAGAAGAGGAACTGGTTTCAAGGAAATGTAGTATTGGATATTCTGGGTGTGAGGTGCCTATAAGACATCCGAGAAAGTAGGACAAACAAATCAGGAGCTCAGAGGACCCTCATGTGAGGTCATGAGGGTGAATGAGACAGGAGTATCAAGACAGATTGAAAGAAAATTGATGATGAACCCCTGGGGAAAAGGAACATTTAAACAAAGAGGTGTCCACAAAGAGAAAGAAGAACAGCAGAGCAGTTGGAAGAAAACCTGAAGAGTTGTGTCAACACAGGGAAAGCTTAGATGGCTTTCAGAGAATTTGAACATTGACAAAAAGGACTATAATGAAAAATATCGGTTTGGGGGGAGAGCTACAGCCGACACTTAGTTGCTGGAACTGTGGAGAAAAGTAAAGGAAGCATCATGGCCAAGTAGCCTTTTTTTTTAAAAAAAAATGTATAACTTGGCTTTTTAAAATTATTTAAATAAAATAAAAATCAAGGGAAAAAATGTTCCAAGGAGAAGAAATGTTTGGCCATGTCAGAAACTGCCTAGTGATTGAAAATGTACATTGGCTTTAGAATGTGCAGCTCACTGACAAAGTTAGCAAGAGTAGTTTCAGTGCAATAAACCAGTAGCCAATGAGTCATTTCAGATTCATGGTGACCCCATATGTGTCAGAATACAGCTGTGCTTCACAGGGGTTTTCGTGGCTGAGTTTTTGGAAGTACATACCAGGCTTTTTTTCTAAGGCGTTTCTAGCTGGATTTTTGTTAGCAGCAGAGTCCTTAAACCGTTTGCCCCACCCAGGGGCTCCCTCAATGCAGTGGTGAGGGCAAAAGCAGGGTGTAGGGTTTTGAGGAGGAAATGAGTGGTGGAGAAATAGAGATCATCAGGGTAGATACTTCCTTCTAGAAACCTGACTGTAAAGTAACGTAAAAAGCATAGAAAGTAATTAGAGAGCAGTGTTGGGTAATGAAAAACTTTCTGGCAAGGGCTGTTTTTGTTTCTTCAATGAGTATTTTTTGTCTTGCTAAATTCATCAGTCTTTTTTTTTTGGTTCTTGGTGCAAAAGTTGTTTTGAAAGTTCTTGAATCACTTGAATATCAGCAGAACAGATTATAGAACAGATTATACCCTGTTTGTTTTTTCTGGGGCCTTATTTTTTTCATTTAAAAATATTAATTCATCTGGAATTTATTTCGGTGTCAAAAGAGAGGGCCCCATACCAATTTTTCCAATAATTAAGCTAGTTGTTCCAATACTTGAATCCACTGATTCGAAGTATCATTTTTATAATATATTAAAATCCCATGAATATTTGCATCTATTCTTGAAATCGGTTCTAATTCATACCATCTATTCATACACTAGTTCTAAATTGTTTCAATTACCATAACATTATAATACACTTTAGTATCTCCTAGAGCTGCTTCCATTTTATTATTCTTATTTTTCAGAATGTCCCTAATACTGTCAGTACAAACATCCCTTTTCATTATTTTACCTGTTTTCTTGTTTATATTTCTTGGAGAGCTTTAGAATCATTTTTCAGGTTCTTTTCTTAAATCCACTGGGGATTATTAACTGGATTTGCATTGTTGTTGTTAGGTGTTGATTCTGATTCATAGGGATCCCCTCCACAACAGAACGGAAGACTGCCTGGTCCTGCACCATCTTCACAGTTGTTGCTTGTTTGATCATTGTTACAGCCACTGTGTCAGTCCATCTCATTGAGGGTCTTCCTCTTTTTTGCTGACCCTGTACTTTACCAAGCATGATGTCCTTCTCCAGGGACTGGTCCCTTCTGATAACATGTCCAAAGTAGTTACAAAAAGTCTCTCCATCCTTGCTTCTAAGGAGCATTCTGGTTGTACTTCTTCCAAGACAGATTTGT